GCTGCCCTTTCCTTTTTGCTATTTGCTGATCGGGGTAAAAGCATGTCTTGTCACAGACTTGTCTCGTCAGAGGGGTGCTGTACCCAGGTCGCAGGGGAGACAGTCTTTTAGAAACAAGGAAAGGTTTATTCCAGCTGAAAACAGAAGAGAAGAAACCCACCGTTTTGGCTGTGGAGCCTTTCTCAAGCGTGTCACCCGAAGAAGGCTCCTCAGCCTACGCTCCTGTAGAAGGCTCCTTTGCAGCCTACACATGCTGACGCAGCTCCCTACTTGAACTGTCTGTTAGTTTTAGTTGCTTCCTACAGCTAACTGTTTGGATACAAAGTCAGATCACCTGTGATTTTAGACCTTAATTAGTTGTCAGTCAAGGAACACTTTGAACACCTGCAGGTCTCGCCGGCTCTAGGAGGTGAGTGATTGGAGAAACGCTTTGCTGCTCTGGGTATCACATGGCATAAAAGCACTGATCTGAGCCCACTGCTGCTTCACGGTGTAGCTGCTGCACGGGAGGGGGGCGGTTCATTCCAGCAGGACTGCCTAGAAGTGCCGCCTCACCCTCTGTGTCTTTGTACCTAGTGCCAGCAGCGCTGTAACAGGAGAGGGGCTGAAGGAAGGTGTGGACTGGCTGCAGGGTACGTTCAGTGAAAGCGTGTACTGTATCATTTCATATCGAACAGGAGAAATGAGGAAAGTAACGAGTTTTACGTGCCTGTGTCCGACCCCATGCAAAGTGAGTTTTTCACCTCACGGGGCCGCAGGAAGTCTGTCTGTTGACCCTCTGGGGTGCTGAACACTAGTGCTGCAGAGGATTGGGGTTGTTAGACAAATCCCTGGAGTTGAAAAGATTACGAGCTGCAGATTGACATGGAATGAACTCTTGATGGAAGCAGCGTTAGTAACATTCTCCCGAAGAGCTACATCACTGTGACTCATGGGTACGGGACGTTATGAAACAGATAAGGGAAACTCCAGCACTGAACTGGAAAGTGCACAGGAGCAATGCACAGGCTAACCTTCTTTGTACTGAAGCCTTGGAGAAAAAACAAATTGCATTTAAACTGGATAATTAAATGGTAATTTAATAGTACTATGAATTATTTAACATTAATGCATAATAGATAAATAAATTGCAGTATATATGCCATCCCATGCAAAGTAACATTTTCATTAACAAAGGAATAACATTGTCATACCCATCTTTGTGCAGATTAATTAGTATAAATGTGCTCCTGTGAAGCTCCTCTGTGCTGCAGCTTTGAAGGCACCTCACAGTATACATTTTTATTGTTTTTCATCACATTTATATGAAGACAAGACAACAACAGGGCTCTTTTTTCAACTATAAATTGGCCTCTCAATCCTACAGCAACCACTGAAAATGGCAACAGTTTCTGGACTTTTTTTAAGGATAAAATTTCCGTGAACCACCATTAAATTCTATCAGCTAGTGCAATCTGCACAGCTACTCTTCCAGCTCCCTCCTCAGCTGCACACATCCCCTGAGACTCGAGCTGTTCCAGCTCTGCTCTTGCTCCCCTCTGGAAGAAATCTAACCTTGACCACAGCCAACTCTCCAGCTCCAGGTTGAACTCCAACCTCTTCTTCTCAAACGCTCTCGAGAAGGTAGGAGCTACTCAGCTAGAGTTTCACATGACTTCCAACCAACTCTGGCAGTCAGGTCTCAGACCGTTACACAGCACAGAGATTGCCCTTGGAAAAGTTTCCAAAAATCTGTGCATGGCTGCTGACTCGGGGTCTCTCTCTACTTGATCTCTCAGTAGCCTCCGACGCTGTGGACGACACTGTTGTTTCTTAGGGATTGAGGGACTATAGGGCAGCAAGACACAGCTCTGAAATAGTTTTCCCAGGCAGCAGTTTGTCTCTGTTGGAGAAACAAGATCAGAGCTGTTGCCAGTGACTTGTGGTGTCTTTCAAGGGGCAGTATTGAGGCACCTGCTCCTTCTGGGTGAGCTTATGGCATTTCCTTCCACACGCAGATGACATACAGCTGTTTATTAACACCAAACATGTCCGCAGTCTTAGAAAATGTAAAGTGCTCTGGAGGAGATCAGGATATGGATGAGCCACAAGTGTCTCATCATGCTGAATAGTACCATAACAGAGGCCATGCTGATTGGAACTCAGATCAGGTCAGATCTCCAACACAAGTACCTGCAGTCCTCTCATTGATGATAATGTTATTCCCCTGTGTCCTCAGTGGTCATAAAAAATGGGTGTGAAGTTCAGTGCTTCTCTGAATTTTTTTGGGATCATATAAAAACATCTTCATATTTCCAATTGAAAAATATCTCCCAGCTAAGGTCTTCAGTTTTGGAGATGCTGAAAAGTTAAATCATTTAATCTCAAGTGGTCTAATGTCTATTGTTGTAGCCAACAGAGGAATGCATCTCTGAAGGGAGACCTGTTGGTGGTGATGTGTTAGCTGTCACGGGAGCCGGTTCTGACTCCTGTGCAGACGGTATAATCCGGAAATGACTGGAGCAGGACAGCAGGGGAAGGTACAGGGTTAGGACGGGTTGACAGACGGGGGCAGTGACTGTAGTGATCAGGTGCAGGGGGGGAAATGTGGAAGAAAGTCCAAAGTCCAGGGAAGTGGGGGTGCAGGCCCGGGAGGTCCATCCAAGACGAGTACACTTAAAATCCCCAGGAAGGGGAACCAAGACCGGGAACACAAAGAACTGAAGACAAAACAGGACCGGGGCGCGGAGAGCCCCAGACCCAGACGGTCAGGACGCCGGGGAATAAGGCCTGCCCTCGGGCTACCCGTGAGCCCGGGGGAGAGGCCAGCCTTGTGGCGTCCATCTTCCGGTACTGAGCCAGGAACTGCAGAGACGCTTGGCTTTTAACCAAAATAAAAAATACTAATCATAACAGCATAGGGTAGGAGCGCCCTCTAGAGGAGGGATGTGGAATGTAACAGTAGCAGCTGTATCTCATAATAATATCACAATATTATCTTGTTTAAACACTATTTTGTCTTTCTCCATGGCACTAATGGGCTTCTGTAAGTAAGTTTGAACATTTTAATTTCAGAGGTTATTTTAGGAGCCTGACTGCACCTGGGTAAAACTGGCAGAGAAATGATTTAATGTAGGTTGTATACTTTATATGTGTTTTTATATTTTATATATTATATTTCTTATTTTCTTCATTGGCTCATGGTGTAAATGCATTAATTATTATGTGCCATCATTATTGAACCAGCTGCCTGCTTGTCAAGAGTGTACAGTTTCGTGCCAAAGCTCCATATAGAGCCACAGTTGCCCTGTGCCATATTTGTAGTTTGGCTTTTCGTATTTTAGAATATTTCATCGTGGATGTTTAATTCTCTTCACAGATCAGATCTTCTCCTTGAAAACATGAGAAAATACAGAGAAAGAGAACCTGAGAGAAACAGCAGCTTGTAGAGATGTCTCACAGCATTCCCTGAACATCTGGGCTGCTGTTAAGTAGGATAAAGTCCTTCTTGTAATTCGCATACACAAGGAACATATTAATAAATCTTTTATTTGGTGTGTATCAGTATACCCTCCATGCTTGTTATTACTGTCTTCCTATCGATGAGCAAGGGCTGAGATCTTCATCATCATAACTCTTTGATGTACTGAATCAAACTCCTGGACTTCTTCAAAATCAGATGTCACAAGTGGACGTACATTTAAAACTGGCATACTTCTTTACACAAAGGGTTGTGGGAGTCTGTTACAAGCTATCCAGCTGTGTTGTTGAAGCTGATACTCTGGCTTCTTTCAGGGTAATTTACTAATTTAGAATCACTAAAAGAGCTAGACAGGTCTACTGGCCTCCTCTCATTTGTAACTACTCTTATGTGGCTCTGTGGCTCAGGATCTGCGCCTGTGGCTGGAAGATTGTTGGTTCAAATCCCGCAGCCGGCAGAGGAATCCTACTCTGTTGGGCCCCTGAGCAAGGCCCTTAACCCCAACTGCTCCAGGGGCGCCGTATAAATGTCTGACCCTGTGCTCTGACCCCCAGCTACTCTCCCTGTCTGTGTGTCTGTGTGTCTCATGGAGAGCAAGCTGGGGTATGTAAAAAGACAAATTCCTAATGCAAGAAATTGTATATGGCCAATAAAGTGATCTCTGATCTCTCTGTGATACTCTTTATACAACGTCAGAGACATTGTTTTTTGCCCTGTTCTGAAGATGAAACCAGCTTTTCCATAGTGATTAAGGGTAAGATTAGGCTTGAGAACTCATTTAAAAGTATATGATAATTAACACTTTAAAATCAAAGAGATGTATACAATTCTAAGAATTCTTTGTCCTGCTGTTTTTGGGGCAAAACGAGAGAAGTAAAATCACGTTCTGCATGTGCTTTGTACATCTCAAGAGAAAATCCTGAATTTTAATACAAAATATTTTAAATGTGCTGTTTCTTGTGCTATTGAGGTTAGCGCTGATGATCTCAGGGGGCTGTGGGGGGTCCCCACAGAATCCGGCGTATTCGCATTGTCTCTATGACCATTGTTTTTTTAGGACTTTGGTTTTGAAAAAGACATTGACTTTGTCATACGAGTTAAATTGTCTTAAAATGGCAAATAATGACGGGAAAAGTTACAACTGCCATTAGCTACAGTACATATGTATTCACAGGAACTGCAAACCAGCCTGGGTATAAGCTGGCGCTGCTGATCTGATTTATCTGAAAGGGAGGAAAATAAACGTTGGTAGCCCAGCGTGTCCTGGTGTCTGTTCGCGGAGGGGCTGCACCATAGGAAATAACTGGGCTTTTGGACCCTGTGGGGTCGGTGCGTCGCCATTGATCCTCGTCTACCAATCCCGTTCGCCTTTCGCAGCGCCTTTGTACCACCGACGGGCACGGGCCGGCGGCGCTCCGCTCTGGATGAGAGGGGGACGGTGCTTCCGGCCGCAGCAGGAGACGGCGACGATGGCTTCTCCAAGGACGGTTACCATCGTGGCTCTCTCGTTCGCTTTAGGCCTGTTCTTCGTCTTTATGGGGACCATTAAGCTCACCCCGCGGTTAAGCAAAGACGCCTACAGTGAAATGGTAAGCACATACTATAAATAAAAAAACAATAACGTAATAACATGGCTTCGGAAAGCGAAGGCATTGTTTTGCTGATCAGTTACAAGGATGCAATCGGCTTTCCCTCACAGATTAGGGAAGCGATGCTCGCCTAGTATGCAATAGAAATACCACCGTTAAATGCAAAGTGAGTGTTTACGAGTATGTGTGTGTGATAACTAGGTGTTTGCGGTTTGCGGTATGCAGTCACCGGCTTGCATTGAGAGCAACCCTTTGTCAAGCATCTTTCGGACGCTGTGAAATCAGAACAGTGTACAATGGATCTTCAGCTCTGTGAAATGCGTAATCATAAGAAGATAATATGGAAAGAAACGCGCTTGTGAATCTTGAGAGCCACCTGTTCTTTGACGTGGACACTAAGATGAAAGTTTAAGGTGATAGAAAATGTGATCGCCGCTAATGAGCTGTAATTCCTATTCTTAAAAATCCGCAAAAGGTTTCCCTGAAGCAGCCAGCCCGAGAGCCAGCTGTCTGCTGCTTGGACAATGGCGGCTCTTTCCAGCAAATTCCACGCTGCACCTGGTGCTGATGTTGCATCTCGTCTTCGAGCTGAGAGCACATACACGGGCACCTCCGGGCCTCACAGCGAGTTACTGCCGCCACAACTGAACCACACTGGCTTTTCGGCACCAAGTCTAAACTAAGTTTAACATTTTAATGCCAGTTTGGAAATCAGCCTCAGTACAATTCCAATTTGGGAGTGATAGGGGTGGGAGATCACAGAAATAACTATAATAAAACATGTTTATTCTTCGTATAGACAAGGTGAACACAATCCACAGTCTCTTTCAAATGCTGCCATTGTGTATGGAAGCCTGCAGCAGTGAGGGGCTTTAGTCATTTATCCTGAAGCAGATTAGGGCGTCTGTTTCCCTCTCCTGCCTTTTCTGGGAAAACATGCCTCTTTCTGCTCCTGCCCTCCGCTGTGTCCACAGTCAGGCCCCCCTTCCCAGGACCAACGTCTTGCACTCTCAAATGCTCTGCCTCTCCGCAGAAACGAGCCTACAAGAGCTACGCCAAGGCCCTGCCGGGCCTGAAGAAGATGGGCGTCAGCTCGGTGCTCCTCCGGAAGACCATCGGCACCCTGGAGGTGGGCTGTGGCGTCGTGATGACCCTGGTGCCCGGGCGGCCCAAGGACGTCGCCAACTTCCTGCTCCTGCTGGTCATGCTGGCCGTGCTCTTCTTCCACCAGCTGGTGGGGGACCCCCTGAAGCGCTACGCCCACGCGCTGGTCTTCGGCATCCTGCTGACCTGCCGGCTGCTGGTGGCGCGCCAGGGCGAGGACCGGCCGGAGCCGGAGGCCAGCCGGGAGGAGCAGGCCAACGCTCGGGACAAGAACAAGGTCAAGGTGTCGTAGGGCCGCGCCAGGAGGAGACGGGGCCGCCCCAGGAAGAAGAAGACCGCCGCCACAAACGTGACAGCCGCAGCCTTCCCAGCTTCCTTTTCACCTGCTCCGGTTCGCCCCCCCGTTTAGCACTGTAGCCCCGCCCACAGTCGCGCCCGTGGCCACTGTTTCCATACAGATCTCCGTAGACACTGAGGGGAGAATCCGCGGCTCCCTTCCTTCTGATCCACGTAGGTTCCAAGTAAATGCATTTTATTTCCTTCACTAGCGTAACGTTTCGAGCACACACGTGAGCTCTGTGAATGCTGATGCACCGCCTGTTGGAAACGTGATGTTTTTTTCAGCCCTGTAATACGGATGCCGTCACACAGATGTGATAACGTCTGTATTTCCTGTGAGATTGGTTTCTACTTTAGCTTCAATACAGAAGGCATGATTTTCCCTGCTGCCAAACTGTGACCCGACTGTCCTTCCACTGCTATGGAATGGGTAGTGTGTTGCACAGGGAAAATTGGGCCCCGGGTCTTAGAATGAACATTGCGAATGGCTGTGCTGTTCAGGCAAGCATGGGGGAACTCTGGGCAAGGTGGCGAGACATTTCCTTTTGCTTTCTGAACACTATCGATAACGGACTTGGTTGGTTAATAAAGTGTGTTTTTGTCTTGTGCTGTTATTTGCTATCTGTCTGTCTCCGAGATCCTCTCTCTCCCCTCCTTCGAAGAGCATGCAGTGTTCAGGAATTCCTTTCTCGTAGAGACTGGGTGAAACTGCCTCCTGGTGAACTGATGGGGTCCCACACACGTGCTGTCCTGGCTCTGCAGGTCCTTTCCTCTTGGTTTAAAATGGCATGGCTGGAAGAAAGTAATCACACTTGTGCTGTTTAATCCCCGTTCCTCATTTACTTCCTTGTCTGACCACTAAGGGGGGAAAGTCTTTTGGCTGTACTGTGGGTGTATTGTTTTTACTCTGTGTTGTTCTGTTATTGTTATATAAAATGGCAAAATGTTTTGAACTGTGAAAAAGCTCAAACAAAGGTGTTCTATTTCGGTGCCTCATGGAATGAAAGGGTAATACAGCATCTCCCTGTGATGTGGCTTTATCAGTGTGGTTTTTTTCTTTGTCAGCCCGTGGCTTGTCCCTGCAAGGAAACGGGTTCAGAAATAATACAGTGGAGGGAGAACAGCACCAGGCAACACCATGGGAATTTTCACGCTTCTCATGATACAGATCTGTGGCACAGTTTTTGAAAAACATCCTTCTCAAAAGTCATCTTTTACAACTTGGATTTAAAAATACATTTTTACTGTGACATTTTATCATGGGATCTGTAGGGTAGTGTAATTTAAAGAACATACGTTTTAAAAAGTAAAATTGCACTATTTTTAATGGTACACTAAATGGAAATAACTCAGGTGCAGTCTCCCGTATGTTTGTAAGAGAATTATTTCACACGGATCATGAAACAATACGGTAGTGTCAGCCCTGGAGAAAAGCACCAGACCTATGGCTGCTTTTTCCCTGTAAAACCTAATGAGCTAAATAAAGACACCTCTTTGGGAAGAAATACGGATTTGTCAGTTTTCTTCGTTACACTGTGACCTCCTTCAAAACCACCATCATTCCAGGTGTTCTGAGTGCTGGTGCCGTACCAGTTAGTGTGTTTGGGTACCATTTTGGACCCTGGCCTGGGGATCCTTCTGTGTGGAGTTTGCAGGTTTCTGTGTCTGTGTGGTTTTTCTCCAGGTCCCTTGGTTCCACTGGTATTGTTAACATGTCCCTCGATGGAGGTGTGTGCCCTGTGACCGGTATTCCATTCTGGGAGTAATCC